ATGGTTTTAGTTTTTATAAAACAAAAAAATCGTAAAACCGAACAAAAAACCGAACCGAAACCAAATTGAAAAACCGTACGCCTAACCTAGTTAAGTAGAGATACAATGTTTAAAAATAAAGATAGTACAATAAAATAATTAAATATATATATATATATATATATATATATATATATATATATATATATATATATATATATATATATATAAGAATAATTGTGAACTTGACACGTAGCATAAATAACTTTCCTTTAATATATAAGATACACTAGCTGTTTTAAATAATCTTGGTTTTCAATTTTAGTGATGTTTTTAGTTCCCGCCCTTGTAATTACATTTTATTGTAATTAATTAATCCAACATTTAAAAAAAATCATATGCACTTTGAAAAAAAATGACCAGCGTCAAACACATGTAACTTAAAATCCTATAACGATCTGAACAATTTGACAGATAAGGTCTAAAGCATACGAATAAGAACTTTGTTTGTACTCAAACAAACCTGTGGTCACATGCTCTAAGTCGTTCATGAATCATTTTATCATGAATGTATATAAATATCTCCGATTCTATCGACATTGTAGCTAAACTTTTGACGTGACACTAGCAACAAAGTATATACCATGGAAACCTTGACCAGTTTAGGACAAAAATGTGGAACTCAAGTCTCTCTTCTTTCTCCGAATGTGGTGAGAAAACTCTCTCGCTTTCCACTGACATCATTTGCTCGTAAGCCTACAAAGCAGGTTTGTTTGAAGACTACGGATTGTGACCTTGATGAAAGTACGCGTACGTTTAACAAGTTTCCACGTTCTGACTGGGGTGATCATTTCCTTCGTCTTCCCATCAATGTCTCAGTGAGTTCATTACACACACACACACACATATATATATATATTTGGTGCAGGAGATATTAACTAGCTGGATTTTTATGTAGGACATGGATGCGGTTACAAGAGAGATGAACGCACTAAAGCCTACAATAAAGAAGATGCTCATGTATTCACAAGACGTGGAGGAGACAAAGAAGAGAATTCTTCTAATCTATTTGCTGGTCGCACTTGGTATGGCATACCACTTTGAGGATGAGATAGATGATAATCTGAAACACGGCTTCGAAAAGATAGAGACCATTATGGCCGGTGAAAGTGACTTGTCGACAGTTTCGGTCATGTTTTGGGTTTTCAGGACATATGGATATAACATGTCTTCTGGTAAGGAGTATTAAGCTAGGCTTCTTATTGATGTTCAATAATTCTACTATACTTGTCTCCTTAATTAATGGTCTATTTTTGTAAACAGATGTGTTTAGGAGATTTAAAGGGAAAGATGGGAAGTTTGAAGAATGTCTTAGAGAAGATGTCAAAGGTCTTCTAAGTTTGTATGAAGCCACACAATTGGGTACAAGCACTGAGGATATTTTGGACGAAGCGATGAGCTTCGCGTCGAGCCACTTGGAGTGTTTATTAGCAGGTGGAACGTGCCCGCCTCATATCTCAAGGCTTATACAAAATGAGCTTTACATGCCTCAGCACCACAATTGTGATATATTATTCGCAAGCGAATACATTTGGTTCTATGAACAAGAAGATGTTCACAACAAAGTCCTACTTGAGTTTGCCAAGCTCAATTTCAAGTTCCTTCAACTCCATTGGATTCATGAGCTGAAAATTCTCACCAAGTAGACTACTTACTGTATCAATCGCTTTTGAAAACGTTTTCATGGATTAATTACTAATATATATGTTTTGCAGATGGTGGAATGACCAAGATCTTTTATCTAAGCTCCCACCTTACTTTAGAGATAGAATGGTGGAGTGCCATTTATATGGAGTGATTATGTATTTCGAGCCAAAATATTCATTTGGCAGAACCATATTGGCTAAGTTATTGGTGCTCTTGACCGTTGTCGATGACACGTGTGATAGATATGGTTCTGTTCCTGAGGTTGCAAAGCTTCTTGATTGCGTCGAAAGGTAATATGATATACATATAATATGTAAGCTTAACTAATGACTTAATCATCGTGTTAGTCGTTGAGAGAACTTCAATGAAACGAAGACGAAGTAGAATAAATATTGTTATGTCTCTCACAAAAATATATGTTGATTACCTTAGGAACCTATTTACATAGAAGAGGGTTCCGGTTTACTTAATGTAAATACAATCGATTTCTGATTTTACTTAAACCATTCAATAGATTAATAATATCCAATAGTATGTACGTGCAGATGGGATCCAGATCTTGGGGAGAGTCTGCCAGATTATCTGAAAACCGTCTTCAAGTTTACTTTGGACGTTTTTGAAGATTGTGAACGAGCGGGGAGGTGTGAAGAAGGACAAAGCTTCAATGTGGAAGGTGCATTAGCAGAGGTAATACATATATAGTGTAAATTGCACATATTGATATAACATCTAATATTGAATACAATTCTGGAAAGACGGTCTATTTCCCCATGAGAAGTATCATATCACGCCAGATAGAGCCCGTTCTTTGACCTCGGTCTATATATGTCCATAAAACGGAAGTTATATACTTCTTTCCCCACGAAATGGAAGTTCAATAGCTTAATCTCCCCGATTCGTGGTTACGTCGGTTTGCTGCGTAAACCCGAGACGAAACCATGTATGAACTTCCATTTCGTGGAGATTAAGATATTGAACTTCCATTTCGTGGGGAAATAAGTATTTAACTTCCGTTTTATGGACATATCGACCGAGGTCAAAGAGCGGGCTCTATCTGGCGTGATAAGCATACTTCTCATGGGGAAATAGACCGTTTTTCCTACAATTCTATATTGACAAATAAAATAACAACACATCTATATTTTTTTTAAATGCATAACATTTTCTGAGAAAAAAAAATGTTAACATTCTATTATTTATTTTTCGACGGCAAATAACATGTTATTCTACGTTCCATTCATAACATTTTATAACTCGATCGGAACAGTTTTACACTACATTCACAATCAGCCCATCCGGCTCTGTCGCGTATAATTCATATTACATAGTCTTTTTTTAATGACTAAGAGATTTATGGGTTTAGGTCCCGTACATCCTTTTAGATTCTGGGCTTAGGCCTCCGTATATCCCTTCAGGCCAGGGATCAGAGCATTCATGTTACGTATTTTTTTCTGAATCTTTGTAAATTTGGAACCAATTTATTTATACATATTTGAGATGGAAAAACTCACGAATCTTGACAATATGAAGCAGAAATAGAATATTTATTTAATTCGCATGTGCTCCTAATAATGCAGTTCAAGATACTCCAGCGTACCCATCTTAGCTTTGCTGAGTGGGCAGCGGCAGAAAAGGTGCCAACAGTTGAAGAGTATTTGGAGGTTGGGGGCGTGGCGGTCACAATGTATGCAACTATAGCATTGGGATTTCTCGGGTTGGGACCGAGGGCTAGGGAACAAGGTTATGAGTGGCTAAAATCTAGACCAAAACTCGTTCATGATTTGGCAACAAAGGGTCGTCTGATGAATGACATGGGAGGCTTCAAGGTACGTATATATATATGACTCACATTGTTTCAAATTTCTTTCTTCTGAGCTAAGTAAACATGAATGGCATGAACAGGATGACATTGGCAGAGGTTTTATCGCAAACGCAGTCAACTATTATATGAAGGAAAATGGAGCTACCGAAGAGGAAACATATAAGGAGTTTCATAAAATAGTTAGAGACCTAGAGAAGTCGGTGAACTCGGAGTTCTTGAAGATAAATAAAGGAGTGCCTCGCGAAATCCTATCTCGAGCCATTAATTGTGGGAAAATGATCGATGTTACCTATAGATCCGGTGATGGGTACACTCGGCCCAAAGGGAAATTCACAGAGTATGTCGAATCATTGTTTGTCGACCACATGGATGCCTCTTTGAAACACTTGGTTCCAGTCTAGCTCCTGTGATGCAGCATGCATCTTCTTCTTGTTAGTTTATAATTGAGTTTGGTAATATATTAAATATTTAAGTATCAAGTTTCTATGTTATAGCAAAAGGTGCTTGTAAGAGTCGTGACTTAGGTTGGGCAATTTATCTTAGTTTCGAAAGTCACGACGTTTAATTTTATGTACGTAAGATCTGTATATAAGTGTGTGTCTTGTCTTCACAAAACAACAAATTTCAGATTCAATAAAAGTTTCTATTTCGTTATTTGTCTTTTTTAAAGGAGTCTTATTCTGTTTCTTCATTCTCTCAATAAACCAACACTTTTACCTTGTGAGCTTTATTGATCTTGTAATATGCACATCTAATGCTAATAAACAGATCATTTAAGCATAGAACACCAAGGGCAGTCTCAGCAGCTGAAAACACCTTAAAAGAAGTAGGTAATGAAGCATGATAGATCGAAGAAAAACATACGTCCGAAAACAGACACATAACATCTCATTAAAAAAAAAAAAACCAACACAACATTTAGACGCTTTCTTCTCACAATGATTTCATTAAAATACAAGATCAATTGGACAGTACATTCCTTAAGGAGATTTAAGGGTACTATATATTGGTTAAAACCTAAGGGTATCTCCAATCCCATTCTGTATTTCTCTCTAAATTTTATCATAGAGTAAAATTCTCTCTAATCCTATTATGTATTCACTCTAAAATAGAAAATATAAAAAATTGTTGTATACATAAAGCGAAAAAAAAAAAGAAAAATCTCAATTTTGTTATTAATTCAAGAAAGAAAATGATATATTGGACAAAAACTCTACTCGACTTTCAAGTCCTCCTCATAGCTAGTCACGGCTTCATGGATTAGTGTGTGTTGACATTCGCAGAGTGATGATCATTGTGGACACTGGACAGTATATTTCTTAAATGAAAATTCAAACGTATACATATGGTCGTTGATTCCAAAAATGAACTTTTACGCGCAAGCCACCACCATCTCGATCGTTGAGTTTCAGCCACATCTCCTACAAAACGTCAACGTTTTTGGGCCTTTTCCTTCGACCTTGTCACCCATTGAGACATGATCCCTGCTTGACTCAATTAGTGGGTTGTATTGGTACAAGACCCACAAGTTATAAGGATTTACAAACTCTTGGTGAGTCATAAGAAGGAAACACAAGAAGCAGAACATACGATTGTTGTGCAGCTTTATTTCAGATCTGACTAGCTAGTAGTACCTATTATACAAGTATGGTATAAACATAGTTAAGGATGTCTAAGCAGCGCAAGTGGCACAGGTGCAGCCCTCACCACAAGTGCAACCCTTAGCAGAGGTTTGAGTTTGGGTCTTGGGACAGTTGCAAGGGTTACAGCCACAGTGCTCCCCACATGGACACGTGTTATGCTCTTGATCCCCACCAGATGCTTCGCTCATCATCTTACACCTACATGGAATTGAACCACGTTTTTAAGATCACACAACATATCAATTATAGCTAGAGCATATATATAATGAACCAACCTGCAAGATTCACCACCGGGACATGGAGAAGGGCAGCCACAACGATCGTTGCAGCTAGCGCTTGAGCTTCCTTTGCCTGTGTCTGCCATTTTTTTTCTTCTCTCTCTTTTCTCACTAGCTCTTCTTTTTTACATTTCATATAGATAAGAAGAACAAAGAGCGATGCAAGAGAACTGAATACGTGGCTTTTATATATCAGGCAACATCTGCCATGTGGCAACTTCTCCTCTAACTCCAGTCGTGACGAAGCATGTTCTTACTTCTTACCAACCCGAAAAGTTAACTTTGTGTTTTTGTAATCTTGCAACACTGTTGATGAGAACATCGTGATGAAGGTAGACCTTACTAGAGTTGTTAAATTTAAAGTCCGGTTAAAGATAACTAATTATAAAAAAAAAAAAAAAAAGCAAAGTTACAAATTGAAAAAACAATTCATGTAAACGAGTCAGGTGATTGTGATATCACTAATGAACGAGTCTAAATTCCGAGCCGAAGATCCACCAGGTGCCATAGCCGATCTTGCGGCGTGCTTCAGCTCCGTCGCTCTCCTCCTCATATCCGCAGCGGCAGATCCTTCCGTCACGGCCTCAATGCATCTCTCCACCTCTTCAACCTTAAGCTCTCCGTCAACAGCATCGTTCTTCATCCTTACTCCTATTCCAAACACATCCACAAGCAATCTCGCATCAAGCGGCTGATCTATCCAAGTCGGATACGCCACCACCGGAACACCAGTCACCACTGTCTCGATCGTCGAGTTCCATCCACAATGCATGACGAAGCAAGAGATCGCCATGTGGCTCAATATCTTCTCTTGTTGACCCCATTCAATTACAACCCCTTTACCTTCTTTAACCAACTCCTGCAAAACTTGGACATTTTCGCCTTTCTCCTTCGGCCTAATCACCCAAAGAAATGAAACTCCTCTGTTTTTCAATGCCTTTGCTATGATCTCGACTTGATTCTCCGATGATTTGAGTATGCTTCCGAAAGATATGTAAACAACTGAAGACCTAGCTTGCTTGTCAAGCCACTCCATACAATAATCATCATATTTCCACATATCTAAGTTGTTTCCATCTTGGATTCTGTCTACTTCAGTTCCCAGCAGAAATGGAGAAACAAGAGGACCAATTGGGATTAGAGGTTTTAAATCAGACATAGACTCGATTATCTCTGATTCGAGTTCGTAAAACGAGTTAACCAAAACCCATTTCACATCTTTCAAGCAATCTGCGAATTCCGCCATTAGCGTATTGACCTGAGCGCCATGAGAAGGTAACATCATTGATGGGAGATCTCGGACTTCCAACAATGGTAAAGCTGGTAACTCCACTGTTTGATTCAGATCTTCAAGGTCAGGGAAAGGATTTGTCTTCATGTAGTAACGGTAATAAACGGAGAAAGCTCCACAAGCTTGGATCCAGAGGATTGCACAAGGAATATTATGAGCCGCGGCAACAGCTGGAACCCATGGGGTAAAAGGCACAGAGACAATGCAATCGAATCGGTTTTCTTCGATGATTTTCGACAAGTTCTTGGCTCCAACTTTTCTCAATGACTTTGCGAGAGTGTCGGGATCTCTTGGATCGTCTTTAGGAAGACCGTCGGGGAAGAAGGCGAGGTCCACCGGTCTATGGGGTTCGTCGGCAGTGGAAGAGAGGAGGTCACGGGCTTGATCAGTGGTGGCGAGGGTGAAGTGTAGGTTGGTTCGTGCGAGATGTTTGGCGAATTTGAGCATTGGATTTAGGTGACCTTGGAATGCTAATGCTACCATTAGGACATGTGTTTCTTGACCCTCACTACTTCCCATTATTACGTATAGTAATAATTCTTTTTAATAGTAATTTAGAGGTATTGGACTTGAGTTTTGTATGATATTGTGAGCTCTAGTTGTTGTGGTATATATAACAATGGTTGTTCAACAATAGATTTTGCATAATTAATTAATATTGTGGAATTTGGTAATAAAATGTATCTATTGTAATTGATAACCCAATAAATGTTGGTCAATAGATTCAAAATTAATTATGGGTGTTCTATATTCTTGTACAATTGTTAAAAAAAAAATCATGTACTTACCTTGGTTATGGTCAATAGCTAGTTACAAATTTTATTATATTAACAAAAAGTTTATATACTAGTCTGAAACATTATATACTTTTCCAATTATATTTTATAAAAGTGTTTCATAATATTTAAAATTTCAAAAAAAAAGGGTGTAGATTAAATAAATCTTCTAATTATATTTAATATCTTCAACAAAAGAAAAAAAAACAGTGAAAAAGCTAATTTGGAATCAAATAGAATAATACACAAAAGTGCTAGAATATATAATATAAATGTCAAGAAATATACAACTTTAATTTGGTAAGGAGATGGTATCCACAAAAAAATATAGGTAATGAAGCATGATATATAATAACAAACAATTGGTCCATAATCCATTCATCAGTTTCGTTTTTGTAACAATTGATAGTGGTTATATCCCGGAAGTCTCAAACCTTGTATTCATACATTTTGTACTAATTTATTTCAAAGTAAAGAGTTAGGCGATTGTGATATCACTAATAAACAAGTCTAAATTCCGAGCCGAAGATCCACCAGGTGCCAACGCCGATCTTGCGACATGCTTCAGCTCTGCCACTCTCCTTCTTATATCCGCGGCAGCTGGTCCCTTTGTCACAGCCTCAATGCATCTTTCTACTTCTTCGACCTTGAGCTCGCCATCGACAGTGTCATTCCTCATCCTTACTCCGATTCCAAACACATCAACAAGCAACCGCGCGTCAATCGGCTGATCCGTCCAGCTCGGGTATGCTACTACAGGAACACCAGCCACCACTGTCTCGATTGTCGAGTTCCAGCCGCAGTGCGTGATGAAACAAGAGATCGCCACGTGGCTCAAAATCCTTTCTTGTGGACTCCACTCGAGAACAACCCCTTGTCCTTCTTTCACCATATCCTGCAAAACATCAACGTTTTGGGCTTTCTCCTTTGGCCTTATCACCCAGAGAAATGGAACTCCTTTGTTCTTCAGCGCCTTCGATATGGTCTCGACCTGATTCTCCAATGATTCGAGCATGCTTCCGAAAGATATGTATACAACCGAAGACCTAGCTTGCTTGTCAAGCCACTCCAAACAACAATCATCAGATTTGCACAAATCTAGGTTTTTACTATCTAGGGTTTCGTCCTCATCAGCTCCCAACAAAAATGGAGAAACAAGAGGACCAATCGGGATTACGGGTTTTAAATCAGACATCGATTCGATTATCTCTGATTCGAGTTCATAAAACGAATTAACCAAAACCCATTTCACATACCTCAAACAATCAGCAAATTCCGCCATTAGATTATTGAAGTGAGAACCACCAGTAGGTAACATAAACGATGGAAGATCTCGAACTTCCAACAATGGTAAAGCTGGTAACTCCACCGTTTGATCCAGAACTTCAAGATCAGGGAAAGAGTTTGTCTTCATGTAGTAACGGTAATAAACCGAGTAAGCTCCACAAGCTTGGATCCAAAGGATTGCACAAGGGATGTTATGAGCAGCTGCAACAGCTGGAACCCATGGAGTAAAAGGCGAAGAGATGATACAAGAGTATATCTTTTCTTCAATGATTTTAGACAAGTTCTTGGCTCCTACTTTATTCAATGACTTCAAAAGAGTTTCAGGGACTCTTGGATCGTCTTTAGGCAGACCGTCGGAGAAGAACACGAGGTCCACCGGACTACGAGATTTTTCTACGGTGGAGAGGAGATCACGGGCTGGTTCAATAGTGGCGAGAGTGATGTGTAGGTTCTTTGATGATAACGAGAGATGTTTGGCGAGTTTGAGCATTGGATTGATGTGACCTTGGAATGCTAGTGTAACCATTAGGACATGTGTTTCTTGACCCTCACTACTGCCCATTATTTTTATTTGATTTTCACTAATAGTTTAGATTTTCATGAAACTGTGAGTCATAATTTTAGTGGGGTTATATATAATACCAATGGTTGTTTAACGATGGATTTTGCTTAATGGAGACATAAAATGAGATTATGGTAAGAAAATCTATCTATAGTAATGGCTAACCCAGTCAAATGTTGGCAAATAGATTCTATATTATCCACTTTTTTACCAATTTTGTTCATCTATTGGTCATCGGGTCAGTTACAAATCTTACCTTACTATTAAATAAAATTTTAAAATAGTGTGACACTTGACAGTTACGATAATCATACTTTGATATGTGTCAAAAACTTTCATGAGATTTTAACATCTGTTAAGTATTGTTTCTTTCTTTATAAAGTTCTTATTATAGTAAAAAAAAAATGAAAGAATAGAATTGAAATTAATATACGGGAAATATACAATTAAAGTTTGGTCAACGATAAGATTTCCAAAACAAATATGGAATAAAAAATAAAAATGGTTAGGTGGCATGTACCAAATCAAAAGTTAATTTTCCAAATTCTATGAATGTAAAAGTAATTAGCAAAAACATAAATTTACTGTGCGTTCGATTTTTACTGGATTCAGGTGTGAGATACTAGTCTTTATCTAACGGTAAAAATCCAAAAACTTTTTTTGTCAACAGTTTTTAATTAAAATTCAAAAGAGTCATGAGGAATGTTGTTTACATGTGATACGATGTGAAAATATAAACAGAAATTTACGATGCGGTTTGTTTAAAAAAAGTCATCCATTGACATATTCGTCACATTAATTTCCACTAAACGATTTTTAAGGATGGTTTTGAGAAAAAAACACACTCAAAGGTTGAAAAATCAACAATCTGATACTTCGCTCTTGACCTTTCAAAGAAGGCTACTTTGAATGGAAATAACAACAACGTGAGAAACAAGAAAAGTACATAGATAGATTGGTGGGGTGTCTGAGCTTTTGAAACATCGATCAAGTTTGATATTGCCCACCTAATTAACAAGTTTAATTTTCAACTAAAAACTACTTCGACCGTTAATTTGGTATAAATAGTGATATTATTTTTAATTTGAACAGTATGAAATTTATTTAAATGTGAGTTCAGGTTAGAGACCAAAAATCACTTTATATCTACGATCGATCGCTACTATATATTAATTTTTAATATTGAACCCAAATTCGAAAGATTAATTCGAGTTTTGGTTTGGAATGTTATCGGTTATATTATAACTTACGAAAATAAAACATTTGTCCTAAAATTTCTAAACTAAAATAAAATAATATAGAAAATTTACAATAAAAAAATTTGAAAAATTATTGTTAAACTAAGTTGTTCTCAATCATAAAATATGGTGACACATGTGAAAATGGTTTCAAAAAATTATGTAACAATTTATGCATCAAAAATATGTTTTCGGTAATCAATCCTTAGAAATATCATAAAATATATTTGGGTTAAAGTGATCTACAGTGATTTTAGTATTCTTGAAGGAAGGTGGGGACATTAGGTTTGTCAGTTGTCACTTATATGATATTAAACATATAATACCATACTAGATTTTAATTTCAAACATATTTTATGGTCTACAACTAAAACTCTGCTCCAAACAATCAGAGACAAAATTATAATCATTTTATTTCCTAAGACAGAGAAGAAACTAACTAATCTCCATTCTTCGTTGATGGCTTTTTTTATTTTCGTAGATTATATATTTTAAAAATATAGGAAGACCAAGAACAAGAAGCAACCTCAGTATTTTCCCAGGAAGGAGCCTAAATTCAAATCTCACGTCTTGTTGAATTTTAAACTTATGAAGTCAAAAACTGAAAATGTCAAACTTTTCTTCTTCTTCAAGGCTCTCCACATTACTATATATTCCAACTCCAAGTCCACAAACTCCTCACAACAAATTTAGTCATCTCATAAATTAGTGAACACAAGAAAAAAAAAAACATTTTTGTTTTAGTTAGTCAAAAAGCACTCAAAGAAAATGATGATGAACAAAGTTGTATTGGGTTCAATTTTGTTTTTCATGTTGGTCAGTTCGATTCTTGTGGTGGAGGCTCGTCCGTTGGGTTTAACGAAGGCTGAAGAGAAGCTCGTGGCTAAGTTCTTCGATGGTTTGTCACTCGGGGCGATCAAGGAGTCGGGTCCTAGCTCTGGTGGTGAGGGTCATCAGTTCATGGACCGAAGTGAGACGCTTGGATATGGTAAGCACTCCGGTCCCAGCCCGAGTGGACCCGGTCACTGAGTTTGGACCGGACCATTTAAGGTGGCTGCTTTGATTTCTTGTTTAATTTATTTTTTCAGATTAATTTTTCTTTTCATGCTTAGAACTGAGGAAAATCAAGAATTGGTAGAGCCTCATGTGTTCTCTGTACGAATATTCTTTTGTTAATTGTTGAAATTTATTTGATAATATTGTACAATGTAATATATTGTAATTAATTTATTATATATTCTGATTATATGAATAAATTACTGGATATTTCTGTTTTAATGAGTTTCAATAACAACATAGTTAAGCATCAATTCCACAAAGCAAAAAGAAGGGACTTAATTTGAAAGTAGACCCAACTAAATAACTGAGAAATATGAAATAGATATTCTTAAAAAAATAAAAATAAAAATTAAGTGATTTCTTTAACGCCTGGCTTGGTCCTCCGGTCACTACAAGAAAACCTTGTTTTCCTACCAACAAAATGTAGAAAAATAGTAAGAAACACGTTATTCTTATCATTTTCCTAGGATTTTCCTACGTTTTGTCGGTAGAAAAAGAAGGTTTTTGTCGAGTTTCTCACCGCAAGTTGGACATGATTTATGGTGGCAGCGTAGCCACTGACGAATACAATTACAATGAAAAGTGTGCTTCTGCGAACACATTAACGTATGGAGGTTTAGGTAACGGTCTAATAAAAGCGCTTCTCCACAGATTATGCAATCTTCATCTAGACCTTCTTCGGAGTCATAATCACATAAGTTTACCTCTTTAACAGCTACTTCCACTTCAACTTTAACAACGAAACCGCGATTTCCGTGGAAATTGAACTTAACCAATTCTTCAGATAGTTTTCAAAAGATGTTGTTCCGGATGGAGCTGTGGATATTTGGCTTGGACAACACGTTATACACATATCTACTGCATATTTCCTCTCCATTATATAGGTAAACATTAGGAACCTCGGAAACGATTTCTACTGCTTCTTTGATTCCTTGGATCCTTATTGAAACAGAGATTGAAGATTTGGAAGCGTCAGGGTACGTGGTAGATCCACAGTGCTTAACTTCCCATGAGCTCGACGCTTGCTTCTTTTGCAAGTTCTCTTCTCTCTCCTTCTTCCGAAACTCCACCATGTTATCCTCCACCATTCTCCGCTGAGCTTCATCCGCACTGATTAGGTATGGTCTAAGAAACCTGGTCAATCGCTTCATTGAATCAACCGGAAGAAAAAAAAAGATTTCTGAAGGAATTGGTATTACTAATCACGAGAATGCCACAAGTTTGTGGCTAGAAAGTTTGATAATCAGTGCATAGCAAAGACTACTAAGCGTAATATATAGAGAAATATATTTTGATAAAAAGGAAATTAGGGTTTTGAGATAGCCACAAGCTATGAAATTAGAAATATAACAATTATCCACAACCTTTCTTCCTAGCTACTAGTATATTGATATATTTAAAAGGAAATAACGTAAATTCCCCAAGCTAACTTAAAATTAAATTTCTTATTTTTTTGGTTGAATCTTTTAGAAACAAAAGATTTATCTAGCGAAATTCACATTTCAATATTAAGAACTAACATTTAATAAGAAATTAATTTTCATTTTCTAATGAGAAATTATTCACATCATGTCATATTTTTATAGGAAAAATCCAAAAAAAAACTATTTACTTTTTGTTTGGACGTTTAATTTCCGAACTTTTTCGGTTTGAAGAAAATACACAATCTAATATAAGTGTGGGATTGAATACCCAAAAAAATAAATCTGGTTATTTTCATACCCACGATCTCAAAACAAAAACAAAATTTCAATTTTATCTTTACCATCTCAACTACTTATTAATTTTTAAATGACGTGACATTAATTTTATTTTTATTTGAAAAATAATAATTTTATCAATATTTTGATTTTATTAAATTTGATTTTTTAATTAAAAAAAACAATTAGAAGAAAATCTATAAAAAATAATCTTCTTCTGTTCTTCAAACTTTCGTTTTCAAAAACGCTAATTTTGAATTTTGATAACAAAACAGAGCAAAGGGCCACCAATGAGATCATAATGAGGCCATATTACAACATCTTTCGTATAACTCCAAATACTCTCTTCTTTCATCATCATCTTCCACCTCCGAGTCCGAGATCAGAATCCTAGACTATGGAATCTGCTGCTCTTCTACATTCTTCTCTAACTAGATTCTCTTGTCGTCAAAACTCCACTCTCCGTCTCTCTCGACTCAACTCTACCACTCTCCCCACAGATGTTCTAATTCGTACCACTAACTCCAATACTCTTCCCCGAAGATCACTTCGTCTTTTTGCCAAAGCTGCGTGCGAAAACCATCATCACTATCACCATGAGCACGATCATCATCATCACCAAAACCATCACCAACATTGCTGTTCCGTAGAACTCACGGTATCTAATCATCTTCAGAAGTTATTGATCAAGTTCGCTAAAACTATTGGATGGATTCGCTTAGCCAATTTCCTCAGAGAAAATCTCCATCTTTGTTGCTCATCCGTCGTACTCTTCCTCGCCGCAGCGGCTTGTCCTCACTTGATGATTCCTAAACCTTACATTACACCAATTCAAAACTCCTTCATGATTGTTGCTTTCCCTCTTGTTGGAGTAAGATTTCTCAACTTCTCTGAACTCTGTTTTTTCGACGAAACAGAACGCTAAAACAGAATTGTAATATAGATTTCAGCATCTCTCGACGCTCTTATGGATATAGCTGGAGGAAAAGTGAACATTCATGTTTTAATGGCATTAGCTGCTTTTGCATCTGTGTTTATGGGAAATGCTTTAGAAGGAGGATTGCTTCTAACCATGTTCAATCTTGCTCATATCGGTACGAATACGAACTTGTAATTGTAACGTTTCTGGTTATGTTTTTGATGAAGTGTTGTGACATTGTTTTATGTAGCTGAAGAGTTTTTCACTAGTAGGTCCATGTTGGATGTTAAAGAGTTAAAGGCGAGTAATCCAGATTCCGCATTGGTGATTGATGTGAATGATGAAAATGTACCAAACTTCTTCGATTTGACATACAAAAGCGTACATGTGAAGAATGTAGAAGTTGGATCCTATATTTTGGTAGGAACTGGTGAGGTATGTGTGAAACTCTGTCTCTCTGCTTTCGATTTCTCGATATTCTGCAACTCTTAATACAGGATTTTACTTGTATCTAGATTGTGCCTGTGGATTGCCAAGTCTATCAAGGTAATGCAACCATAACAATTGAGCATTTGACTGGGGAAGTGAAACCATTGGAAGCAAAAGCTGGAGATAGAGTTCCTGGTGGTGCAAGAACTTTGAATGGCAGAATTATTGTGAAGGTATATATATTTTGTAGCAAAGTACTTTACCTTGGTTTATTTAGAACTCTCAAGGTGATGATTCTTCAATGGACTATAAACAGGCTACAAAGGCGTGGAATGAGTCGACACTTAACAAGATTCTACAGTTGACTGAGGAAGCACACTCTAATAAACCCAAACTTGAGAGATGGCTTGATGAGTTTGGTGAGATTTATAGCAAAGTGGTGGTTGTTTTGTCAGTTGCTATTGCCTTCCTTGGTCCAATCTTGTTCAAGTTGCCGGTTCTCGGAACCACAGGTATAGTGATCCTTTCCGTCTTTTCTTGAGATTGTTTTTGACTCTTTACTTTGATTTGGTTTCATTTTGATGATGGACACAGCATGTAGAGGATCAGTTTACAGAGCATTGGGATTTATGGTGGCGGCGTCACCGTGTGCCTTGGCAGTTGCTCCATTGGCTTATGCTACTGCAATAAGTTCTTGTGCAAGAAAGGTATAATATGTGTGTCAAGTGACAGTTGTGGTGACTAAACAATGCATATGTCTTTCTTGCTTGGTAGATGTATCTTTATGTGTAAGATGTGCACTTTTTGTAGGGGATATTGCTGAAAGGTGGGCAGGTACTGGATGCTCTAGCTTCTTGTCATACTATTGGTTTCGACAAAACCGGGACCTTAACAACCGGAGGCCTTACATGCAGAGCAATTGAACCCATTTATGGGCATCATCAAGAAGGGAAAAATGAAAGTGTAAAGCCTTGTTGTATGCCAAATTGTGAAAAGGAAGCATTAGCTGTAGCAGCTGCTATGGAGAAAGGTACCACACACCCTATTGGAAGGTATTGCTTGTTAAACATCGGTTATCTTATACGGCTTCATTACATCTAAAATTCTAGCAACATAAAAGGCTTTAAGCAAGCTCTATGTTTCCTAAAATCTTTGTTCTTTATGACATATCCCACTTTTTTTGCAGAGCCATGGTAGACCACAGTGTTGGGAAGAACCTCCCTTCTGTTTCTGTTGAAAGCTTTGAGTATTTTCCTGGTAGAGGCCTTACTGCTACTGTTAACTGTATTGAGGTACAAGCATATTATCTACTAGATTATGTGACATCTATATCTAGTGTTGTCTCTCACTACAACTTTTATTGCTTTGCTATAGTCAGTAACCGAAGGTAGGAAACTGCGGAAAGCGTCACTTGGTTCAGTAGAGTTCATTACTTCACTCTTCGAATCCCAAGATGAGTCTAGAAAGATCAAGAATGCTGTAAATTCTTCTTTGTATGGAAATGAATTCGTTCATGCTGTTCTCTCACTTGATCAAAAAGTAACATTGATTCACCTCGAGGATCAGCCTCGTCGAGAAGTATCAAAAGTTATAACAGAACTAAAAAGCTGGGGTGGAATGAGGGTAATGATGTTAACTGGAGATCATGAGTCAAGTGCTTGGAGAGTTGCAAATGCTGTAGGTATTGATGAAGTCTACTGCAACTTAAAACCAGAAGATAAACTGAATCATGTCAAAAACATCTCAACAGATTCAGGTGAAATTATCTTCCCAAATAGATATGCTAGAAGAACCATAAACTGAATTTCAGGTGATGGTTTAGGTGGAAGAGGTTTGATCATGGTGGGAGAAGGTATCAACGATGGCCCGGCTTTAGCAGCTGCAACTGTAGGAATTGTTCTTGCTCAACGCGCAAGTGCCTCGGCTTTATCGGTAGCTGATGTCTTACTGCTTCAAGACAACATAACTGGTGTTCCTTTCTGTATCGCCAAATCCCGCCAAACAACATCACTAGTCAAGCAAAACGTGGCTATTGCGTTAACCTCGATATTCTTAGCTGCTCTTCCATCAGTTCTCGGATTTCTTCCCTTGTGGTTGACGGTAACTCATAGCTACTCTCTAAAGATTTTAAAACAGTTTCTCTAAAGCTTTTAACACATATCTTTGCATTGGGAATCATCACAGGTACTATTACATGAAGGCGGAACACTTCTCGTTTGCCTTAACTCAATACGCGGTTTAAACGATCCATCCTGGTCATGGAAACAGGACATTGTTCATGTAATCAACAACTTCACCTCAGCAAGACCCATCAGCAACATAAAACGTATATAGATCGGAATTTATAACTTAGTGGTTTGTACTAGTACCGTCGCATAATCGCATTACCACATCACAAACTTTGTTCTCATGAACACTTTTATGGACCAATTTCATCAAATCTAAGACATGTAATGATCAAAATCAATACATTTATTCAGTTTTATTCGAATGAATTCAATCTCAAATCATGAAATTGGCTCTTTCTCTGCATTTGCTACACAATTCTTTGCGCATTTTCGCGGAAAAACGATTTGATTCATCTCTTCTTCTTCGTCTTCTTTCTCACTACTCGATCTTACCTATTCCAATAAACTCTCTAAACCCTACATTACGACCATTAGTTCCTTGCACCACACACGAACTACCTCCTCCTCCTACTACTCCTCCGCCACCAGTTCCTCCGCCGTTCCCTCGCTGTAAATTCGCCATATAACTCCTAACCTCCGTCTTAATCATCTCCTGCACCACCGTCATAAAATCTCCACCAAATCCAGAAATCTCTCTTTCCTTCTCTTCTTCTTCTCTCTTCACCGGAAACGACTCATTGACGCAAGGCAAAGACAAAGTCAAACAAGTCATCGGATCTTTCTCCTCCTCCTCCGACGAAGACTCAATCACCACTCCACCAGCTCTCGCCGTCGGTTTAAAAACATGACAAGAAGAAGAAACCGGCAAAACAAATCCACTAGATTGCGATTGCTCGCTGACGTCAGATCCCGTTGGACTTAACGCCGTCAACACAACTCCTCCACCTCCACCTCCACCACTCGCCGTCCGTTTTAACGGCTTTTCATCTGTTAAATTACCATCATACCCTCCATTACCACCGAAATCACAACTCTGCCCTTCCTCTCCACCGCCACCGCCTCCACCGCTACATTTCCGCTTCAGCGTTGAGTTCCAATGATTCTTAATCGCGTTATCGGTGCGACCATTGAGAAGCCGTGCAATCGTAGCCCACTTGTTACCAAACCGAGCGTGGGCTAGTATAATTGTATCGTCTTCCTCCGCCGTGAATCCACGGTGCTCAACCTCCGGAGAAAGCTGATTACACCACCGGAGACGGCAAGATTTACCGGAACGTCCAGGGATTGATTTGCTTATCAGAGACCAGTTCCTTGGTCCATGCTTTTGAACCAGAGTTTGTAACAGATCGTCTTCTTCAGGACTCCATGGTCCTTTGATCCGATCCATTTCTTTCCGGGTCGAACCAGACATCGTCGGATCTTTTTTTTTTTTAATTTTAAAATACTCAAATCGTTTAAAACGCGTTTCTTTTGTTTGTGGAATTTGGAGAAGAAAGAAACGATTTGAGAGGATAAGTGTGACGAGAAGAGAGTATTTATACGAGATGTGATGGTTAGAAAGGTCACCGGTTCTACCGGTAAGCTTTATCGTTAGTTAACAAGAACTTAAATTAACTAATTTAATTTTTTTGTAACTGTTGATTGGATTATTTATATACATAATAATGTTTTCAAGATCTGCAACCGAATCAAATTTAATAAGTAAACTGAAAAAAACTAAAATTTAATTATTTATCGTTTGGTTTTATTCTGTTTTCAAATATAAAACGTTTTCAAATTTTTATTTTATTTTAATATATAGAACGGTTAACAAATTTATATATAAATTTTAAATATATTTGATATTTTATGACTGTTTTCTGTTTTTTTTAATTCGTTAAAAAAAATTAATTAAATATTAAATAATATGTGTGCTTTTAACAAAACATAGTATATTCTAAACATATAAAGTTTTATTTTAAAATTCTAAAAACTGAAATTTCGATAGAACCAAACAGGAGTATTTTCTTATAACCAAAACCAAACAACATAAACTAAATAAACTAAAATTCATTAAATTATATACTACTATTATATGAAGTATTATGTATTTATATTTCTAACTAGAACTAAACAAATATATAAACTAAAATTAAATCAAATTATAAATAATTTTATATAGTTTAAATTTTTAGAAATATTTTTAAAAATCGTTAAAAACTAATTAATTAAGTAATTTTAATTTCTCGTAATCTTTAAATTTTAGTTAATTAATATGAAGATGTACACACAAATAATTGTAACGTCAGCGATTGGGCGGTACGATTGGGGAAAATGCGTCTGAGAGAATCTTTCCAAGAAAACGGTTGGGGATTTGGGATACAGCTGTTTAGTGGACACGTGTCAACTGAATATGTAACAGTGTGTGATAGAGAGAGTACATTTGTGGTACTTGAGAGAGCGTTTCACAGGTGGAGCGTTTCTTTATTCAATTCAAATCATTTTCGTTTTTTCAGTTTTGTTTTATTATTTCTCTATTTTTGTTGTGTAAACAAAAAAACATTGTGAAAGATTTCTTGACTCATTGGTTGATTAATGGTTAATTAATATTTCTACACCAAAATGTTTGGGCTTTGAGTCTCAAATATTGTGATTTATTAACAAATTTGCAAATTAATGGAGGCAAGTATGCAGAAGATCTCCAACAATGTACAATTATAGCTGTTCGTCAGGATTCTACGCAGAGAAAAAAATGTCGTCAGATCGTGGATCATTGAAGGTGTCCATCAAAAGCATTAATAAAGAAATATCGTCTATCGTAGATCTAATAAGAATCGGAAAGAATTGTCTGTTGTAAAATCATCTATGTAACAGTTTTTATTGTAATAAATAATAAGTCTAGACGATAAAAAAAAAACATTTCATTTTCAATTCAAAAGCACTGACTGACGCAAACATCGCTTTTTCGAATTGTAATTTGCGTATTTAAATTGACATATCTATACATATTAGAAACGTATAAGTAAAGTATCCATACTTATTGAGTGATTCTAGTTTCTTGTTTTTTTTTTTTGATTAAAATGAAGATAAGGATTACGTTAAAAAGGGGTTTAGTTTTTTGTTGGATTCTTCAAAGACTTTTCTGACTAATGAAGCCAGCCTGTATGCCATTATTATTACTTTTTTTTTATTTATACAAAAACCAGTTATTTTGGATATTCAAAAAATAAGATGCTTACGAAAACGACAAGATATTTGAGTAGAGAGTTTTGAGAGCCTATCGTTACTATTCTTTTTTTTTTGGTTAAAAATCGTTACTAAGTACTATTTTGATTTTCATAATTTGTTTTTCATTATGAGAAAATACAGGCTGTATTAACGGCCATTTCCCCACCTGCCGGTAACCTCCCCTGTGACTGGTTAACTCTAATAAAAAAAGAAAAAGAAATTGTCAAAAAATAACTTTCTTGTTTCCATTCAATCACTCCAATGCATTAGTACAATTTACAAGACTTGAAAGAGCAATTCTTTTTGATGTTTAAAACAACAAGGTTAAAAATGGTAAAAGGTGAAATTCGATAATCCGACAATAGTTCCATAATAGTTCGGAGATAAGAATTGTAAAACACGTCAAAAAGTAACTAAAACAAAAGAATTTTTCCGTCTTTTAAACAAGTAAAATTCTTTTTTTCTTCTTATGTGATTTTTCTTTCCTTTTATTTTTTTCTATATATTCTATTTTTTTAGTTTGTGTTAGTATTATTTTTCTTTAGCCGTGAATAGAGAGTGCAATAGGAATAAATAAACGTCTTCTTATAGATTTTACTTATACAATTCCGAAAAAGATTGAACATAATGACATGATGAAGATCAAATCGAATATCTCTCGTAAATTACACTATACAATTCCCAAAAAAAGTGCAGGTAATGTCATGATATTCTTCCTACTTCTCAAACTGAAGCTGTTGCTATACAACATATATATGTTGATAACTTTGAGAACATGATAAAGTTAAATAATTTTTAATTCCTATAAGCTATAACATCTCTAAAAGATTTATGTCGAAATAAAGTTCATTTTCTTTGTCGTTTAATTTGTTGTCAACATACTCATATACAAAGGAATACGTTAAACCGTACATCAGCCGTGTACCGCACAAAAACGTCGCACATGTTCCAATGCCAAAAGGGACCTTCTCGTGAGCTTCCTCATTCTCTTCTTTCAAGTAATAATTAGATAAAGAGATATTGAAAAGAGTTCTTAAGATTCTGTCTAATTATCGAACCCAAATTATAAAGATTTAGGACATAGATTAATCAAGAAGGTGTCATTAATGGAGATACGGAATGAGATTTTCCCTTATTGGTCCATCGTATCTACTACCAAATTCTTCCTTAACGTAATTGTATACTTACCACTAATTATTTGCTGATATTTAGTATTTATATATGTAGTACTAGTATTTTCTTAATTATTCAAATATTAATGACATTGACCAAGTAAAATGTACTCCGCAATTTAACAGTGTGTGTGGTCCGTAATTGTACCTTTATATCTCACTTAATAAGTTTGCATTCGCTTCACGTGAGATTTGATTAATGTCTCTCATTTTTTGTTTTCTTAACCCATGTAAAAGTACTAGATAATTGAAATTGTGTGAAGCAAATCATAGGGAAGAAGAAGCATCAACATTGTGTGATTTTGAACTGTATAAACCTGAACCAAATACTGAGATAGCTCTCATATACCGAACAATGAGATGTGATAGCACTTCTGCGAGTAAGAGTCCCTCGCCTACACATTTTCTGAAAAATTCTATGAACATTGTATGTTTAATAAATACATTTTAGTATAGCTATGTACATCTTTTTTTATAGTATAAAATAATATGATATGTATGTTAATGTGCTTTTGTTTTGTTAAGTTTTTCATGCTAATTAATATGCTATGTCCCTTGATGTATTTTACGTAAAAGTCTTGGTTAATGATAGAGAATGCATTACATTATTAAGTAGCACGTCCTTCAAAGTATTCTTTTTTTTTTTTCTTTAAGAAAGTACAACTTTTTATTACGAAATTTGAGGGAGAATGTATTGTAACTCAATTCTTAAATTATATTCTTTCACGAGTAAGGAAATTATTCCGTTTGGTCTGTCTCAATTCCATTATATATATATACTCACATCGAGACGT